AACGTTGCCAAGGTTGAGAAACACTGCTCTACAGAATTAAGCTGGAGGTCTGAAGCTAAAGTGAAGGGACTGTTCTGCCTTCCCAAATTAGAAACTATGGATCTGACGTACGTGAGAACCAGTACTGAGGTTTCAAAGTAACCTCCATAGTCCTTGGCGTGGCCATTCACAAGAACCAAAACGTTTAGGAGGTGGTGAAGCTCCTAAAGCAGATCTTCACCTCCTTTCTTAAAATCTGCTGATTAACTCCTCGCAGTCATGCACAAAACGGCATATTTTTCTGGCCCCTGGAATCAGCGAGAGCCATTTAAGGAGCAGCATCCTCCCTTCCACCTCCGATATGAGAAAACAGCTCTTTTAAGCGCCTGCTGTCGGGTGCAGTATTCAGACAGCTTCTCCCTGAAATCTGCAGAAACATTTTTAATGTTCTAGAGCACAACCAAGGAAGGAAAAGTCTACTGGAAGGGAACACCGTGACTGCTGTGGCTCTCATCAAGATTAAACAAACAATGCCTTAAGTCTTCATCTAGACTAAAGAGTGTTCGCAGATGTCAATGCAAGGGAAGGTAGATCAAGCTATGTTAGAACTTTAATCGTATGGAATTTCTATGAAGTCAAAAATGTTGAGTGCAAACGCTAGAGGCGGGCTTGCATCTCAACTCATAAAGTAATGTGGCTAAAAGCAGAGCAACAGACTGAATGTCATACATCTTTAATTCTTGTTCCTTGAACTTCAGTGTTGGCACAATAAAGGTCACTACGCACCCCAGGAATGACACAGAAGTCTAAGAACTGGGGAGCTCCTGTCCGTTTGAGGCTCTGCAACATAGCTGCGTTCATGAGCAACAAGACAGTGAAACCGCTTTTTTTAAAAAGATGGAGGCACTGAATGGAGTGGAGACTCCAGCAGACCCTTGCTCAGCCATAGCAAGAATATTTTCTTCCTCCAAGCCTGAGGAAAGGGAAGATCAGTGACTCTGTAGTGCTGCATCACCCTCCGCCTCCAAATAAAAACTTCCCTGAACTGCCCCATGGCGTCCTGAATGGGGCAGCCTGGATAAGCTGGCCAGTTAAAGAGTGCACTGTGAAAACGAGAAACTTTGCCCGGAGCGCACCCCAAGGCGTTGCTGCAGGTGGCTGAAATTGTGCTACTCAGTTTGCAGCTTTTTTAAAAAAACAAAAACATGCCAACATTAATCATACTTTGTCACACAGCAAAATACAGAAATGCTCATTAGTGGAATGACCACTGAGAGGATCAACATTGCCAGTGTTGCCCACCTTAAAAAAACCTGAATTGTAAAAACTTTTACATTAACCAGCAGTGGTGTGAACTGAAGCTATTCTCAGGTAGCTTTTTTCAAGTTCAGGCAATTTTACAAACTATGGCAGGTTTTCATTCACCATTAAGCAACACTGTCTCAAATTGGCTGTGGAACAGCTATCAGGAATCCTGCCAAATTGCCTCCCCGATCCCAAACCACAGAAGGATCGAAACTCCCTCCTTGCCCACGTCCAGGACGAGTGGGGGGACAAGGAGGGCATCGGGGATGCAGCAAAGCCTTATGGGGTGGTTTTAGCAAGGAACCCCACGTCTGCAATCGGAGGAATCAGGAACTCTAGACAGAGCCCCATGACTTCTCACTCTCTGGGTTGGCAATGTTGATTTGAACCAAAGTGGCAGCCGCGCGACAGCCGGTGCCAGAGTTAAGCCCGTCTATGCCTGCAGCTCTGAAGCCACATGTCCACGGAGTGCATCAGGCAGAGGTTCTCGTGAGATGTGTCCTGAGCAGCCAATGCTGTGCTGGCAAGCCAGACGGGTGGAAATGCAGCGGGGCGGGCAGCGGCGGCGCTCTCACCTCCGGGGGGGTTCACCTTCAGGCAGAGGAGCCGGCTTTCCAGAGCTCTGGTACAAGCTTTTCAGGAAAGAAGGGGCAGAGAAAGAAGGAGGGAGCCTGGGCGGCACGGAAGACTCACTCTCGCTGCGGACACGTTGGGCAACTGCCAGCCTGGCAGCGGGCAATAAGAGAAAGGACAGCCAGTCAGTCCCAGGCTAGCCTTTTAAAGGAGGCCCAGCCTCCCCCCCACATCCACCGCACGAAAGGCCAGAGCTCACCCAGACTTACGGCTGGGCATCGTCCCCAAGACAGCCTGCAAATTAGCGCTGAATCTACTCTACGAGATCTTGCTAAACGTAAGAGGGCGGGCATGGCACCAGAGCGCAGCCAGAGGGCTGACCCCAAATGGCTAACATGCGGTCCGGTCCGTGAGTGGCTTCCCCCTGAGATCCCCCGCCTCCCCTCGGCAGGGCGCACGAGCTAAGAAAAGCCACCCGGAATCTGGGCCCTCTTTCGGGGAGGTTCCCTCGCAGCCAGTGGGGGGCCGTCAGATGAGCGCCCTGCACGGGGATGTTCAGCCCCTCGACAATGGGATTACTTAGCACAGAGCCACTACCTGCGAGACTGCGCGTGTTGCGGATTCAGCCGTTCTACGGTGATTTATGCACACGCACACACACACTCACAGCCTGGTTCCAATCAAGCCAATAATATTTTGTCTGGGGTTTTGTGGTGTTGTTTTGTTTGGCCGAGTGCAGGGAGAGCGTTCCTGAGCAAGAAAGAACGCACAGCACTCAGTCGCATTCTGCAGGACAATGAAGTCATTTAATTCTAATCGTATTTACACAATTTCTCTGAACAAGTATTTCACCAAAGTTTTAATTCTTTCTGCAAAAAAAAAAAAAATATGGTGAGTTTTTTGGTAAAAAAAAAAGAGGGGGGGAGCAATAGATTTATTTCCACTTTTAAAATGGAGCGTTTGGGGGTTTCTTAGCCCCGACTGCTAGGCAATTCCAGGGTGGAACTGTTTACATGCCAGAAAATCAGCACATGGAAAAGCAACATATGGCATGGAGTTGCTGCTCTAATTAGGAAACTGGCTGCACGAGCAAGAGCACAGCTTTGCAGGGACAAAGAAAAAGAAATAAACGGTGTCCGTTGGACTAACCCCATCATTGCTCCGGTTTCCTGTTTCGCTGCAAGACTGTAGTGTGAGCTTGAGAAAATGTAAACAAAGCAGAGAGGCCAGACACTGACAAAGCCATCGCGCTTCTAATAAACTGATTTCTCTACTGTTCTGAAAACAGCATTACAAAGGAGTGAAATCTACAGTTGGCCTAAAGCACTTACTCCCTCAGAAGCAGACAAAACGCCATTTGGAGAGAAGTCGGAGCTGGCTGAACTCCTCCTCCTTGAATGGCGAGACGGCTATCAGAGGGGGAGCCCAAGAAAGCTTTTTCACACTACGGTCTTGGAGACAGACACACACAGACACACACAGACACACACGTGACTAAAGAGGACCCCGTGTTAGAGTTGAGTCAGCTGGGCCCAGGCAGCAGGACTTTCAGAACTGCCTTGTTATCCATTTGGCCTGCGTAGACCTTTTCCACGAGTGGTTATGTCAGTTGCTTCAACAGGGGAAAAGGCAAATCAGAACAGACTGCCGGAGCAGTAATGCCCAGGAAATGTTTATCTCTTGACCCTACAAATAAGGGGTAAAAAGCCCAGGCTAGGGACGTTCCTCCATCCATCCCGTGAGTTATCTCCACTCCTCCAAGGTTGCTCTGGATCTGTCTGGTAAATTACTTTTGGTCCTGGAAGGTGTGGTGTGTCTGACTCACACGCTCCCCATGTGCTCTCTCACCAACCCTGCCCACGGTAGAGCCTCCTTGACAGATAATTCAGCCTGGCAACGTTATGCACAAGGGAGGAGATTCTGCAGTTTCAGGGACAACCCTGCTTTTTTTGTCATAGATTTGTGACCTCTTGAGGTCTAGAGTTAAGTATCAAAAATGTCCAGGTTTTCAGCTGACAAAGCCTTGAAGGACTCTCTGCACTCAGAAATCAGTCCCACTGAGATCACTGAGAGAGACTCTCAGAGAAGACCACAAGTTCACAAGAACCTACAAGGAGTCAACACCTCTGGATCTTGTGGAAGCCAAAGGGTGTGTCAACAAGGCAGGGATTAAACTCCTGCCAAGTTTCCTCACATGGAGCAGTATTTGAAGGCATTCAGAAGTTGCATCTGCAGCCAGAGAGCTGGCAAAAAGCCCCCTTTGTTCTGAGCACACCGTTCTGAAATGATTCAGCCCTCGCTGGTTCCAATTTCATTCACAGACCGATCTGAGATGCTGGAAATAATGTTTAAATACCTGCAGTTTGGGACTGAATAGCTGAGGACAGTTGGGTTCCACAAGATCTCCCCTGAGTTCCACCTGCCCACTTTTCTTCCTCGACTTTTAACTTCTGAATATTGGCCTTTTAAACGTGCTGATCATAACCTCCAACATTCCCAGTTTTGCTCCAAATTTTCTTTTGGTTATGATGTTCATGGATTCATGCTTTAAATGTTTCTTTTTCCTTAATACAGCACCAATAGCTTTTAAATGCTTCTTTTCCCTTTTAATGCTGGAGCAGCCTTTGAAGAAACCAGAATAAAGATCTTGTGCCACAAATAAAACAGAATCGAATCCAAGTCTGGACTAAGCTATACAATTTCAAACAAAACAAGCCTCTTGAGAAATTGTTCCTTTGCCTTATCTAAAGTTCTCCATGACTGAATTTAAATAGGTAGAATCTTGGAGATGACATCTTTCCATCCATTTCAAACTATTCACGCCTGTCTGAGTGCACAGGACTCAGTGACCAACTTTGTACCCTCAGGCATCATTGCTATGCGGAGGCTGAAATGTACCCCTATCAGTATACCTGCTGGGAGTCGGGTGGCACATATGACTATGATTAGAAGTGTACACCTGGTTCCTTAAAGTCTGTTACAACCACTTCACCCCAGCTTCAAGCCCCTGCGCATCCGAAGGCGGAACTGGCATCCCGGAGCCAAGAACCTTGGGAGGCCTCCCCGTTGGGCAGCCAGCGAGCGCCTGCTCTGAAGGAAGCCCGGGCGGCTGCCAAGGCCCCTCCTGCCCCCAGCCCGACTCACCTGCTCTGCTCGACGGAGCTCTGCCTCAAGAGAGGCGACCTGGCGCTCTGGGACCGTCCATCCTGGAAAGTGATCCTCTTCTTGGAGGCGGAGGGCGGGTGGCTAAAGGTATGGGCGCGTCTTCTGAACTGGGGTGAGTCGGAATCCTCTTCGGGGAAGGGGTGCCCGGCCAAGGCGACGGGAGAAGCTGGAGGGGTGGAGGGCGGAGAGTCTCCAGAGGAGCACTCCTACGACAGGAAGCCACAGACAGGGGTCAGGCACCGTCCCAGCGCCCCGCACCTTCTGCGCATCTCCCACGCACAGAGGAGAGGCGGTCTTCCTGCACAAAGGCAGGCGAGTGGCAAAACATGCCCACCTCTTTGCTCGCAGAAGGGGCAGCCCCCTCTGGAGAATGCAGCCAACGCTCCACCACAGCTGAGGGAGCCCAAACGTTACTAGAGGAGCATCTGACTTCCTTTGGGGAAGGAGGAAGAGCAGGAGGAGGAAGGCCACGTCCTCACCAACACTGGCCCCTTGGCTCCGTTCCTGCATCTGTCGTGGACAGGATTTCCCTGCCTTGTCCCAGCTGCATCGGGCAACCCAACAGGGTCATTGAAAACCATGCGAACAGCCCTGCCTTTACGTCCCGGGGGGAGGGGGGAACAATCCCTATTGTAGGAGCCACCCAGAGAGCATTTAAAACAGGAAATAAGTGGAACGTGTGCCATGACTTTTCTTAGCACAAGCCAGGTTTAAAAGAGAGTCCCTTCAGGGACAGCACAGCACCCCCACTCAGACACACCCCTACTGCGGTGCTGAGCAGAGGAAACTTTTTCTGTTCATACAAGAGAAAGCACAGGGTTTTCAAAGTTCACTACCCTCTTAGTTGCTCCCTTTAACGTTCGAAAAAAATAAACACAAGAATGATTAAAAGAATGCCTTCTGTTCTTCTGCAACGGTTTCTACCCTTGGTCCTCCCGCCCACTTGGTACTCACTTTGTCAGAAGTGAGATGGTTGCACCTTTCAAAGCTATCCGTGCTCCCCAGACGGCCACGCGTTCGGCTAGCCCCCTGCAAAACACAGAGATCGCTCGGTTGCGCCCACTGCCTGCATTCTGGGGTCCCTGCACTGGGAGGAGGCCCCTCCGAGGCAGTATCCTTCAAAGCAATTCACAACGGGGCAGTGATGCAGCCCGGCAGCCCAGCAGCTCCTTGTGAAGTCTGACTTTTCGTAAGCCTGGGGACTCTCCCTTCTTGGAGATCCATTTAAAAACAAATGGCCACAGCGCCTGGTGTACAGTATTTGGAAAAATACCTTTTCACAGACCTGTATACAGTGCTAAGTCATGCCCTTCCAACGTACAACAGCTGTCACAATGAAATTAAAGCTAAATTCCGCGGTCGTCATTTCGAAGGGAACTGAGTAATTAACACTCTCTAGGATGCCGTGAGAATTTTAGTTTTGGGAGGGGAGTGCGGTAAAGTATTTGACAAGTCACCTGCTTCCTCACTCCCCACAAAGAAACTAATTTTAAAAAGAAAACAGTGTAAGATGACTTGATCGACCACGTATTCCGTCCGAGCACTTTATCTCACCCTTGAGAAGATGTTCTCGAGAGAGCTGGTTAAAGATTTCTTGGCCTTGTTTTTCAGGATATCAAGTGTGAACCTTCCACTGCTGGTGGTGTTCTCTGGAATTGTACTGTTAGACGCGTTCTGCTGTTAGGAAGATAAACCGTCATATCAACACACGCAACTGAAGAAATCCGAAACGTGCAACCGTCAAACTGATTCCAAACAGAAGAATAACAAATACAGGAAGCTGTCAGGGACAGGGTTGGGTTGGGTTTTAGACAGAGATAAAACACTGTTTTGTCCAGCCGTTTTCCCCCCATTTCAAATGCAAGCCCTGGTTTTTTGCAGAGTCATCAATTTAGATGCAACGTCAGGTTTACAGGAATGCAGAACTGGCTCTTAGTTATTTAGCTACTCAATTTAAAGCAAATGCGACTGGGACGGCGAAAGCCTTTCTAGGTTCAGGAGAACCTCGTGCTCCCCAGCAGTGACGTTAACCAAGAAGGACAGTGCCGGCCACGGTCACAGGCAATTTCTTTGCCCGCCGGAATTCGATCCGGATCATTGCAACATCATCTGTTTCCAGATGAGTCTCCTCGGAAGCAGAAGGGAAGCCGTGAGGACAATGAAACGGCTCCAGGGCTCACCACCGGGGCCTCGTCAACATGGACATGCGTCTTTTGCTTCGCCTCGCACAAGCGGCGCAGGTGGAAAATCAACAGCTCGTTTTCTTCCTGGTCACTGATCGGCTTCATTTTCTGCCACGGGGGGGAGAAGGAGAGGTTACTCCTGACATCTACCCTGCTCTGTTTTGCATCCAGATATACCAGTGTTTCAAAAAGAAATAATTTCATTGCTCTTTAAGAACCATTAAAGACATTCCCATGCAAGAATGGGCGTATAGCAAACTCAGTTTAATTCGAATTTTCTTATTTATGGCCATCATCTCCCTAAAACAGCACACAGCAGAAAGGTAATTCAAGTCTTGCTGTATTTATAATGATACAATTGCTTCTGAATAAAACCAGATATGCTACAACACCATAACCTTTCAATTTGGGGGGGGGGGTGTTGCTGAGAGAGAGAAATACCGAAATGCGCTTCTGATCCTCGGGGGCTCCAGGGTAGAGATCGGCCCTGCCACCACACCCCAATGGGAACGGGGTCACTTATTACCTGAACGCGCTCAAAGATATCAGCCTGTTCGTTGTCGCTGAGAGAGGACAGGTGTCTCTGGATTACAAGTTTGGCTCTTGGTGGATAAAGACCTTTGAAGAAAGATGGAAAGAAGGTCGTTGGGCAGAAGTTTCACTCACGGGCAGCCCTCCCGCCCCCTTCCCCGCAGCCAGAAAGACAGCTGGACTCAACAGGACTTGGCTCAAGTGTGGCTGCTGAAGTACGCCAGGCGCTTCCTTCCACACGGCCCCGGTCAGCCCCCGACGCCTCGCTCTGCCCGCCGACGCCCTCGCCTCCTGGCTACCCGGCATCCCTCTGAGTCGGCAAACGTTCCCTTGATCTCCCCACCTGGCCCTGAGACCCCTCCCGCCAGAGCTCTGCTTCCCCCCTTCCGCCCACAGGGCCGCTTGGAGGAAGCCCAGCCCAGCCCAGCCCAGCCCAGCCCTCTCCCCTTTCTCTCCAGGTCCATTTGCTGCCAAGGGCACAGTTAGCGATGGCCGTTGCGTGTGAGTGAGGGTCACGGGTTGGGGTTAGGCGGGACCTGCGCTAAGCCATGTGGCCCCTGCCCTCCTGAAGCGGGGGAGGAAGGTGGGAAGAACTTTGTAGAGCCATCCTGCACCACTGGCAGTGAACTCTGGAAGTGAAGAGGCTGTGCTCCAGAAGCCCCCGGGGAGGCAGCCCCCTCCGCTGAACGCGTCCTAAGGAGACTCCACCCGCACACAGGCACTCCACTTTTTATCTTTAAAGTCACCACTTTTACAAGCCCTACCCCTTTTCTACCTTCTCTAAAAATATAATAAAACAAAAAGGGGTCTCAGTCAAGAGAGGAGGCGAGAATAAATAAGTGCTTCATATCTTAATCAAGCTGCTCCATCTAAAACTACAGTTGGACGCCCACAGAGACGCACACCGTGAGCTAAACCTGCTTGTTTCACGGGCACCGTCCTGGCCAAGGCGCACTCTGAGTTTCAGCCCGTACCTTAAGCATTTGGGGAGTGTTTCCAAAATCTGAGGGAGGGGACAGTGCTGGTCCTTCAGAGTGCTGCCGTGCTCAGAGCACCATCAGTAAGCACATGTCCTCATTCCAGTCACTGGGTCGGAATAAGAGGCTCTTTGCGACATTTGCGCACAACAAGTGAACCCACCCAGGGTCCTTACCACTATCTGACAGGGGCGCCTCTGTCCCAGTCCTTTCGAGTATCTTTCAGCATCCGCAGCTGAAACGGAGCAAAGTCTTCAGAAGCTTGCGAGGGATTTGAACCTATCTTAACTTTGAACGCTCTGGCATCCTCTCGCTAACAGACTGTATTTTATGTTCGCGCTCTCTGAGGAGGAGAAGGCGGCACCGGCTTCACATCCTTTCAGCCCTGAGAACGCCAGGCTGTCCTCTTCGGAAGCCAAGGGAGCTAGTCAGTCCCTTCTGCCAACGTGGTTCGCCGAAGAGCGCAGCACAGCCCCTTTCGGCCTCCGCCCCGCCCCAGCAGGAAACGGGCGGGAGGGGGCCCTGCCGCCCTCAGCGCTTGGCTTCACAGAGCCTCCCTGGCTTCGTGGCTTCGCCCGCCAGAGGGGGCTCGCAACCCAACGCGTGCTCATTGAAGTAAACACTGGTAATCGTAGGAGGAAAGGTAAGCAGAGGGAGGCAAACATTTCTGCCCCATGGTCATCAGCAACGTTCCTACGACACAGTCGCTTTTTACCACCGACACCTGCTCCCCACGCAGGGGAGATGTTGCCCCTGTGACTAACAGGCATCTCTCCCACTGAATTAAGGGCTATTCGCACACTTCTAGCAAAGGAGAGTGATAAACAGAAATCCACCGAGGCCCATCGCCCTCAGCTGATCAGTAAGGAACGTTTCTGCTCGCTCTCTAAGAGAAAAGAATCAGCAGACAAGGAGTCTGCAAACATTTCCGAAGGCTGCAAGAGATAACCTTCCCTTCACACAAAGTCAAGGCTCAGAAGAATGACATGCTGAGGATAACTAAACGTAAGAACAAACATGAAAGTCCTTGCATTAAGCGGGTGGCATGGCTGCATTTGGAAGATTTGCATGGTTCTGGTCCACATGTCAGAACCGGGAGAGGAGAAAGGAAGTCATCTGGGGCCTCTTGGTTAGAGAAAACTGATGGCCCGGTCCTTCACCAACATGGCAAAAGAGCAAAGAGGTCTTTCAATGAAGTTAGATCGCTCCTCCATGAACCTGCCACCCCGATTTGTTGCCTTCAACTTTGAAAGTTGTAAAAGCAACTCACAGAAATATATAATATACTTGTAATGCTGTTCTTTAATTAATTAACACAACTAGCTAGCAGCCTCAGATGAAGCCCAGACTGAAACATGAGCTGGGCTAGGTAGGTCTGGTCTGGTCTTGCAAGATGTCCTTCTAGGTGGACACTATGAGATAATCTGGCACACAACCTCTTTGCTCTGTTGCTGCGACAGTGAGAGGATGCTCTTCCAGATGCTGAACCCAAACACATCTGGAACCAAAGACATCCCTTCATTTTGCTAAGAGAGCAGGAGCACGCCCATTCTTTCTGCATTTATGGGGTCCACAAAGGCTTCCTGTCTGTGACTGTGCTTGTGCCTGATCATACAAATGAGCAGCAATAGACCGGGGGGGGGGGCAAGCGTGCTGGACAGGTTACGCGAAGGCCCACTGCCCCGCATCTCCTTCAGACTAGGCAAGCATCCATGGTTTAGAACTGGCCACCTTCGATCCTTTCACACAGCTTGTGCAGGGCGTGCATTGGGCAGGCCTCACATAGCTTGACCTGGGTCTTGGCGCTCTGCAGGGCTGCAGCCGTGCTAAAGGCTTGCTTCAGAGTCAGCATCACCTCGTCCACCTGGAAAGAGAATTTAAAAATTAAACCTGTGGGTTTTTAAGACCAGGAAGAGCATTTTTCCCAGGTTCAGCCAGGCTCCCAAACCAGCCAACGGAAGGGGAACAATAGACTGGGCAACCATTCTGCTGCTGGGGCCATGAAGTGGGCTGAGTTCCCATGGATTTCAATGGAGCTTCCATTGAAAACCAGATCACATTCAGCGCTCTGCGCATTATCTGGCCTGCAAAGAAGGCGCTCCGAGGAGCTCCAAGTAAACAGCCTGCGGCTGGAGCACATAGCTCTTTGACTGCCAGAAGTCCCGTTTCCTAGTCTTCCAGTCAGTCAAACTCTTGGAGGCACTGCTGGAGTCCTGCGGCTGAAGATGATGGGAGGCAAACTCCCAGCCCATTAGCAACCAGCTGAGGACCTCTTGCCTTTATGTCCCCAGACACCGGTCCTGGCTTGGTCCAGCACACAAGATTCCCACAGTCCCCCACTCTAGGGGGGCCTAACTTCACATGCTCTGTGGAAACAAGGGTCAGAGGTTGTGAGTCACTGGCATACAGATTCAAATCCATTTCAGGCCTGAACGGCAGATGAACAGATGGAGCTATTGAAGAAAGCCCTCCAAGAGTCTGGAAGGCACGTCAACAAGACAGGAAGCTACAGTAAAAACCAACTTGGCTCTGAACCTTCTGCTTCTTTGAAAAGATTTGGCAGCCCTTCTTCTGTTTCTGATGGCAAACGTTTGCAGGGAAGAGGGAGAGCCCCTTCTTTATCTGCCACTGCAGATAAAGTCTGTTAAGCGTTCAGAAGCCGCATCATTTCTGCTTCTGAAATCACCCTCTGCAAGGGCTCGTAACCATTCTCCGCCTAGGCCCAAGGGGCAGAGAATGATCTCGGTCAGGGCTCTGTCTAAACACGGTGAGCTATCGAGCCCAAGGTGAAATTGTCTGAAGCTGACTTCTGGCCGCCCGACATTGAAATAAAAACTTCCAATGTCTCAGTTCTGAAGTCTGTCCTGAATCTTTAACTCCAGAGAGAACTAAGAGCTCCCATAGCAAGCAGCCATTAGCCTCAGTACAGCAAAACATAATCCAGCTGAAATGCAAAGTCATCCCCAGTGGGTGTCCTTGGAGAATATGGAGAAACTTGTTCAGTCTCTCATTCACATCCTCCACCTCGCCCAGGATGTCCAACGTTTTAGCAATGGCTTCTTCTTTCAGTTGAGGCATCCTACATCCACATTCCCTCTGTGATAACACCACAGCAGGAAAGGTTAAGAATTTAACATCTGGCCTCCACCAGAGTCACCTTCACATCTACCAGCCCTGCTCTGGAAATCACTGCAGTAGAATGTGGAAAGGGAATGCGGTCTAGGGATTAGAAGGATCTCGAGGTCATGGCTGAGCACAAGCCAACTTCAAGGCAGCAAAAAGGCTGGTGGGATTTTAGGTGGCATTATGAGGAATACAACTCCAAGTCCCAGAAATAATTCTTCTGCTTGATTCTGCACTGACATTTGGAGTTCTTTAAACTGAATACCATTGGAGTGGGTTCAGCAGACAGCATGAAGATGGTCAATGGCATAAAAATAAATTCAGTGGGAAAAGACTGGGAAGTCCTAGAGGGGAGCAGCCTCCTCCAACGCTTGATGGAAGGAAGACACACAGCAGGCACGGAAGGAGCTGCAGCCACCAGACTAAATTACAGGATGGTAAATTCCAGCTGAATTAGGAGAAATGTCTTAATGGGACTAATTAACCATCTCGTTGGTCTCATTACTACTTTTCAGGTAGAAACTGGACAACCATTGTGGGAGGCTGGTTCGGCCCGTACAAATTTGCGACTGGAAAGAATTTGTGATATTTCTTTCTCTGGTATGAACCAGTTCCAGCTGAGCAAGCAAGCGAGTCTACCCAAGCATCACGTGGTTCCAGAAGCAGAAAGAAGTGCTATCTCATTTTCTTCTCCCAGTTCTGCGTCATCAGACAATACAAATGGTATTTTAAAGAGTTTGACTTACCAGAGATTCACTTGCACACTGGAACACATAGCAAGCATACTGATTTATTCCAGGCTCAGTGGATTCCCGACAAATAAAACCAAAATGATCAATGTGTTTTATGCCCTAGAGGGAAGGAAGTAGAAAAATGGAACACATCATCGTGAACATTTAGTTCAAGCAAATTAAAGAAGCCGTGATTAAAGCCACCTAGCAGAGTATAATCAGGGTCCTTTTTCTACTTTCGTGAGTTTTTGTGCGTGGTCGAGGGCATCTCTGGGATGTTAGATGAGAGGCAACAGCAGGATAGCCCAGGCGGAGAGGCCTCTCTTCCCACAGCCACAAAAGACTGCTCCTCTTCACGGTATACATGTGGACTTCCAGCCTCACAGACGCCCCCAAAGCAGCCTTTGCAAGCCACACAGAACTTTGCTCCCCCCCCCCCCCCCCCCCCCCCCCCC